CCTAAATATTGACATTTATACTGTACCGCATGGATGATGTTCACTGGATTCTCAGGCCTAGAAGGGTGATCGTATCCGCCCCGCCTTTGTAAGGTTTATGTGGACAGCGCCATATCCTTGGGGGGACACGTTCGTACGTCTGTAGCCAATCATTGTTCTCATGGAGGATCCAGGTACACCATCATTGGTGTCGTGACTTGACGTGAGGTTTATTTATGTAAGGCCGTGCGAGAACCTCCGAGCGGGCGCCTGCAACAAGTTGGTATGTCTCCGGCCGGATGTCAGTAAAACGTTTGCTTGGGATCAAACTAGCACTGCAGTTGACAAGGACAACCGCAGTGCACTGGAATACCTACAGCTTCTGGAACCCGACTCGGATGTGGTACTTCTGTTACAGTACTTTGTCTGTCAGGCCTTCAAAGAAGGAACAACATTCCCAGACTCCCACGAGGAGCAACACCTAACTTTTCTCTGTACATCCAATGACCTTACAGCCATTTGCAGATCTACGCCAGGCCGGAGGAAAAAAAAAACATACATTCAGCAATTAAGCTTGATTTATAATCAAGTCAGACCGCAAACTTTCAACTTCCAACGGTCGACCGGTCAATGTCAATGCGATACATTCGGAAGACGTATCGGGAGACTGGCGAAGTCATGAGGACACCAGTTTGTGCAGGTCAAACCCGCATCCTCCACAGGTGAGCTATTGCCTATTCTCAGTGTCAATTATGTGATTTCCCAGTTCCTTCCTTGAGGCGTGTATTGAGCCACAACCAGATATTCCTCACTAAAATGCAACATCAACTGCGGAAGATTTGTGGTATCGAGGTTTCGATTGTAACAATTTCAAGAACCATACGTAGGCGAGGATTTACACGGAAGAAGGTCATCACCCGTTTATATATATGATTCAATACAGAACTGTCTAGGTCACACGCCCTGTCCGTTCGACCGAACTTCAACGATTCTCCGTTCCAAGAACTGTGACATGTACATTTATCTGATCCCCGTCCGTGTTTCCTTCGTCTCCTTTCTTTGGAAAGGTGCGTATTTATTCGCTGTTTTGCGTACCTCATATCGTTTAATGGCCGATCTTAGCGCTCCATATGTCACCGTGGTCAGCGATTATCCTGCCAGGCGTGGTTTTTCTTTCCCGATGTCCACTTTCTGATTTGCCCATCTCTGTCGTCATACAGGGAGCTCACCAACTTCCTGCAAACTTTGTCCCCAAGAGCGTACTCATCCAGAATCTGTCAAATCCCTTCTGTCGCTTACGCGCCGAGTTGGGCTGCACCCAATGAGGCTTTGTTTGCACGCTGTCTCCCTTTTATCAGACGTCCGTTGCCCTCTGTCCTCCTGTTTGTGCATCATCTCGGGCTACATTGAGATGCCTTATGGAGAGGTTGTTGCGGCTGTTCTGCTTCGTCCATATAGAGATCTCCTTGCTGACACAGACCCTATACTGATCCATGAACCAGATCATAGCACGATCCTTCAACCAGACGTAGCCCTCGAACCCGACCCGCGTCAGCCGTTGTCATGGGCTTCGCTAGCTCCGCCTGAGGCAGCAGTTTGATGCCTTGCAGGGAATTTTCGTGCGTGGCTTTTTCATCTGGTTTTGCGGCGAGCTGTGGTACACTTCATCTCCATTTGCTGGATTTGATCTTGGGTTTGAAAGTAGTCTTTCCCCCTTGTCTGAGTTCTTGCGTGGGCGATCAGCAGTTGCACTACGATAACCTACGTACTTGGTGTGTGGCACTATACCCTGTGTACTATTACTTGAACGCCAACAACTTTCAACTTTGGCCCTGCCCGAAGAACAAGTGTGATGAATGGCCAGATTGCTGTCCAAAAAGCGAGTTGGCTTGGCTAGGCGCGCAGTCACCAGTACCCATTCTTGTACTACATACGTCGAGACTTGAGAAGCGTGACGTGAAACCTTACAAGCTACTGTGTGGCCAAATGTAGAAGTTTTCAATACTATGAAATTATGTAATAGGCTGGGTCAAGCTCATTTCTCTGACCGAGCCGACTCAGCTTCGGGAATTCGGAATTACAGTACTTATTACTGTTTGGCTGCACAGGCGGCAGTACTTGTCAAGGCCCATCTGTTCGTCCATGTGGACAGGAACGCCTCTCACTTCACGGCTCGTCTGTCGTTCAGCAACCCTTCGAGCGTTCTCCAATGCCGCTACTTTCCCTACGGCCTATCTCACGTCCGAGTCACGGATTGAGTGGAAAGCCTATGAGGAGTTTGTATGCACGCCCATCCTCTTTGAAGTTGACGCCTTTCATCTCAAATTTCACCTCGTCTTCCATTCTCCACGCGAATGACGCGCGTGCAGCCACTAGCGCTCCGAAGTCAGTTGATTCCGACAATGTAACTGTGAAAGACCAGAGAAGAAAAGATTGGATAATTGTCAAACGACTGATGAGTCACGTCTGGCCGAAAGATGACTGGGGCACACGTGGTCGTGTTGTCTTTGGATTTGGGCTTTTGATTGCTGGCAAGGTGTGGTGTGCTGCACAAGAAATCAGGGGGTGACTGAATCCAAACATAACTTCATCAGGTGTTAAATGTTCAGGTGCCCCAGCTGTTCAAGTCCGTGATTGACGCGTTAAACCTAGACGTAATGGCCGATTCGACAATATGGGTCGTTGCAGGTTCTCTCATCCTCGGATGTGAGTCCATAGCTATGTGAATTCACCACTTCTTTTAACAAATCTTTCAGATGGGGCTGCTCGGACGGGAGCTACGCTATTTGGAGAGCTATTGAACATTGTCTTTGCCAATATTGGTCAACAAGCGGTTCGCAGAGTTGCTAGGGAGACCTTTGAGCATCTCTTGAACCTGGATCTCAAGTTCCATCTCGCACGGCAAACTGGTGGACTTACACGTGCGATCGACCGCGGTACCAAGTATGTCGCATTTCAACAATGTGATACAACTTTTGAATCTCGCATCTCAGGGGTATCACGTTCATGCTCCAGGCCATCATTTTCCGCATCTTCCCGACTGCCCTGGAGATATCCATGGTTTGCGGAATACTTGTGAGCAAAGATCCGATTCAGTTTTCTTTCTTACCCACCACTGAAATAGACTTGGAAATTTGGTTGGGATTTTGCCGCAATCACTGTCACTGCTTTAGCTGCATACACTTGGTTCACCGTTCGCACAACCTCATGGAGGTCAGTGTCATCTATCTTATCCGGCTAATTTACTCAATTTCTTCAGAACTCAATTTCGTCGCGATGCAAACAAAGCGGACAATAAAGCTGCGACCGTAGCAATTGACTCGCTCATCAATTACGAGGCAGTTAAGGTATCTCTCTGTTACATGTTATCATCTTTTTGCGTAAACTCCGTTGCAGCATTTCAACAACGAGAAATTTGAGATTGCACAGTACGATAAACATCTCAAACAATACGAAAAATCTTCCGTGAAGATCACCACATCTTTGGCGTATCTGAATTCCGGCCAGAATGTAATTTTTTCCACGGCGTTAACAGCCACAATGTTCCTTGCCGCACAAGGAGTCATGAAAGGTATGTTTGGCTGAACTTTCATAACGCATCTTTAGTCTTAGACAAGCTTTGATCAGGGACCATGACTGTTGGTGACCTCGTCATGGCGAACCAACTAATTTTCCAGCTGTCACTTCCCTTGAATTTCTTGGGTAGTATCTATCGCGAGCTACGCCAAAACCTCTTGGATATGGAAGTATTGTTCAATCTTCAAACTGACAATGCTCCCGCCAAGGTACGTTCTAGGCTGCTTCGTCACAAGTTTTTACCGACATGATTTCCTGGGAAAGGATAAAGAGAACGCAAAACCGCTGGCACTGAAAGGCGGTTCTATTCGTTTGAGAACGTGAACTTCGGCTATCATCCAGATCGGCCCATCTTCCGCAACTTGTCCTTCACTGTTCCGGCGGGTAAAAAAGTGGCTATAGTTGGTCCGTCCGGATGCGGGAAGTCTACGGTCTTCCGTCTCCTGTACCGTTTCTACGATCCATCTTCCGGTCGGATTTTCATAGATGACCAGGACATTCACGACGTCCAGATGCAGAGTCTGCGGGAATCTATTGGCGTGGTTCCACAGGATACGCCGCTGTTCCATTCTGATATCATGCACAATGTGCGGTATGGCCGCCTTGATGCCACGGACGACGAGGTAAAAGCGGCTGCAATGAAAGCAAGCGTTCATGACACGGTCATGGGTCTTCCCGAAGGCTACAAGACCACGGTCGGCGAGAGAGGTTTAATGATTTCTGGAGGGGAAAAGCAGCGGTTGGCAATTGCACGTGTGTTGCTTAAAGATCCCTCGATCCTTTTCTTTGATGAGGCTGTGAGCTTCCATGTGCCTGATTTGCATTTAGGATATTCCTTGACCCGCAATTTTCAGACATCAGCTCTAGACGCTCACACGGAAACTGAGCTTATGCGTAGTATAAACAACACGTTGCTGGTCAAGGCACGGACAAGCATATTTATTGCCCATAGACTCCGCACCGTGGTTGAAGCAGGTGAACCTCAGCCACACTCTATTTTTTCTCAGGCATACTGATGGCTGGATCGTAGATTTAATTATCGTGCTTAAGGATGGCCAGGTTGCGGAACAGGGCACTCATGAAGAATTATTACGCCTAGGTGGTCTGTATCATAATATGTGGGTCCAGCAGGCCTCTGATAATTCATTGGAGAGCTTGGCCGAGTCTTGAGCTCCTGGCCAATGCTATTAATTATTGTCGTGGAGAGTCCTCGACAGTGTGCAACATTGCTTCGGACTGCAATTCACAAATGGATATTAATTTTGATCAATTTAACAACATATAATAATTTCTAATGTTGAAGGATCCGTGAGGTGCATAGTATCAACTATCACTTGGGATCTACGTGAACTGCTCTTGTCCAAAAGCGTATAAACGTGCGTGATGCTGTGATAACTCCCATAGGTAAGTGTGTATACAGCAAACGTGGGTCACCGAATCGCAAATCATCGACCATAGTTCCCGTCCAGTGTGACTCTTGCCCTCGTCTGTCCGCCCTCGAGCCAGATCCACGTTTCAAGCCCACTAGTAGGATCTGCAGAGGGGAACACGATATTCCGTACACCGTGGCCCCATCCTGGGCTACTGTAGCCGCCGTATCTGAGACATCATGCACGCAATGAGAGAAGATGGAGTAGATGATGAGCATGCACTGAACCGAACGGGTCAGGTGAAGATCACGTACCCAGAATGCTTGTCAAAACAAAATATAACATCCTTCGTAGGCTCACGGGCGCACCACTCGTCACCATGATCTGTGAAGAAAGCACATAACCATATGATAAGCGACAAGACAAAAGTTGCAAATCTGCGAACTTACCGTGCCCAGAGATCACTGCGTGTAGGTTCTTGACGTTGGCATTCAACGCATCCCAGAACGGTTGGTCTTTTCCGGCTGATGACGGGTCAGTAGTGGCCTGTGTTGATCCCTGGGATAGAGTATCGGCTGAAAACAATCCATAGAAGTGAGCAACCGAACGATGTCAAACATATCCGATTTCACTCACCATTTAGTCCTGGGTTTGCTGTGGTGTTCAGCGTCTTTTGCACACTCTCGATTGCATGTCTTTCATTGTTTATTTCAGAATGAGGACATGGTAATTGAATAAAACCCACTTACGGAGGTATATGTACGAAGGCTAAAGCTCCTCGCTCTCTCCTTTCTACTGAATCCCACCCAGCTTCCATTGCAGCTGTCTCGCGCTCAATCCATCCTGCTACAGAGGCGTCCACCCAGTCGGGTAGTGGCACAGATGTGGATCCTGGGAACCAACCACCTGGCAGTCGAAGGACGTCAGTGAATCGACCAAAGACTCCCTGGCAGAAGGTAGGAGTATACCTCGAGAATCAAAAAACCACAGGATCAAAGCAGGCGTCAGATCTGGAAACAAAATAGGAAGGTAAGTAACGACGAACGCTCCTATGCTTTGATAGGCACCTGTCGCTTTTTCGTAGACCTACAGATAAACAATCATATGTACAGTCAATAATCCCGATTGAAAAGTCACACTTCAATAACATACTGGAACCCAATAATTGCCCTCCCCTCCCTCCCCTCCAATACCAGGTGGTGCGGTGCGAGTGTAGCTTAGATAACTATCGAGCTGCTCCCGTCGTATTTCTTCAAGATGTGTGATGTTTGCCTCATTGTCATGATTCTAACAAACATTATTTTCGTCATATACATCTCTAGGAACGATTCATATAAAAATAGACTCACCCCATATGTAGAAGAGAAGGGGATTTTTGCTTCATTTAGAGGAGCCACTATGCGGTCGATGAGAGTGGTGGAATTCTCCCGAAATGTATCTATGTGAAATAAGTAGGGCTAACAATCAGCCCAAGTCAATTTGAGCGCACCTTCGCCAGTGATTAAATCACCATTCAGTACGCTGGAGATGTTGTGTCGTTACTAACATCCAACTTGGAGGAAAGTGAACAAAATCCATACACGTAGTCAGGCTTCTCAGCAGCCAGTACACCGCGCATTAAGCGTGTGCTATTAACATCCTGTTGAGGTCCCCAATCATCCCAGGGATTTTCGCCATAATGGAGATCCGAGAATACGGTCAGTTTAAAAGTCCCAGAAGAACTGAAGGTGATACGTGGTTTATCAGGATACGGGTTGAGATGAGAGGTCACATCGACCGCTGGAAATTCCGCCTGTCTTGAAGATGCTGGTAGAATCTGAGTGTATACATGATTCGTTTAAGTGTCTAGGACAATACATACCACGGTGAGGCAAACTTGGAGATGCTTTCACCATTCCTGCACAGAAAAGGGCCAGCGAAGCGGCAAGGATTCTTACATGCAAACACGAGAGGATCATGGCGTGAGTACTTGGTCCAGAACCCTGCAAGGTCAACGAAGTGAAGAGATTTTGTTGAAGGGTTTTCTTTATTTCTTACGTACTCCTCGCATGCAACATGGACACTTCGGAAGCTAGACTCGTGACCAGCCCGTCTATGATGGTCACCAGTCTATTCGGAAGCGCCGTATCAACGGTTAATTCTGCAAAGTTCACACCTTAGCGCTCTAGATCTCGTGACTTGCTCTAAAAATAACTATAATGCACACGGGATTCACTCCGGGATCACTTGACATATACTTTATTGCTCGTAAAGAGATAAACTGCCGGTGGGGTTACTACTTACTGCTCAAAATCCTAGAGCCTCAAAGACTGTTGGTGCTGATACATTCAACTTTCTTGTGTCTGTTTAGAAACCTAATGTGCAACCTAACGAGAGCCTGACTTGAAGGTTCGTCAATTATGTACAATGTTTGCAAATGCTCAGCACTTATGGTTATACCACCACAGCCTTGACCGTGACACTTAGATAATATAACCTTACTCTCGTCCTCTTGTACTATTCTGAACTTATCTTTTCTTTTCACTTGCGCAGGATTTCCAATATTACCGCAAACTCCTCGAAGCGACTGCGCAAGCAGTTCAAGCTCAATCATGCAAAAGCCAATCAACGATTGCTGCTGCTGAGATCTGAGAGGCAGAAACTGCTTTGAAGGAACAACGTTGTGTCATCGTGGATGTTCTGTCATCATCTGTTTATTACCTCAACGGTGTGTCACAGTTGGTATACATATAAAAGTAGTTTCTTGCAGAATGTTCGAAATTCGCGACATGAAGCACATCCCTCAATCATCCTTGTCAGAATTCACACTGCTACTCGACAATGGTGGCCATACAGGTCGTAGAAACCTCTCCGAGTCACTCACTGCGTTGTCAATTTCATTGATGGCGAGGGTGAGCCGTCGTGCCCAGAGTCATTCAAGTTCTTTATTTTCGGGATGTGGTCAATATCCTACTCATATTCATACCTTTGGACTTCATATCCCAGAACATGGACTGGGACGTTGGCCTCACGTGTTTGTTTAGCTTTATGTCATTGGCGTTGCTGCTTTACTCAATGGTCTGTCTGCCACTCTGAAGTTATTCACAACTGGCGATGATCCTAGGTCAATCAAGAATTGTTCAGACGTCCGTGAGTGCCTTCATACGGCCACTATTTGGGATATATTGACCTTGAGTTAGATGCTTGTATCAATCTTGTCAAACACATTTCCCTAGAGATGCGTTGGGGACACTGGGGGTCCCCTAGACTAGATAGTACTGTCCTCCTTAGAGTTTATCTTTCCATAGGACATGAAAATTGAAAAAAAAATAAAAAGTTAAAAAAATAAAAAATAAAAAAACACATTTCCCATCCTTGGTTATTCGTTTCTCGCTGGTAGGGGACCTCTACATTTGAAGGATAGTATATGCTCACTCGGTATAGGTGGATTACATCATACACAAGAATCTTCCAATGGTGCCGGAGCTTAGATGTGCGTCTGTTCTTCTGCCATTTAAATCCTCAGTTGAATTGCAATCATTTTTAGATCTGCTTCCATAAGTTAGCTGACTTATTCATCAAAGTGATAACCAACCAATTCTAGCTTATGACTTTGTCGTGCATAGGTACCTATATCTTCAAATTAAGAGTTTCGCTCATGTTGTACAGCGCTCGTTATTCCTAAGGCCTATACAAGTACAACAGACGCTGGAATGCAGAATTATTGTCCCCGATGAATGCCCCACCGCGGACCCACTCTTTATCTCCAGAGGAACTGCCATATTGCTCCTTGGACTTTACTGTAGCTTTTGGTTTCAGGCATGTTCTAATATCTTATTCTTCAATGCACTCATTCAAGGGTTCAGTTAGAATTTGAGTCCAAATCTCTTCACTGCGCTTTCTCCACCTAAGGCACATATTGCAGTAACATATCTCCGTATTATATGAGTGAACGGACGTGCATAATATCCCGTATGATACGGGCCAGTGGACCATGGGCCGAAGGTAGATATATCCTCGACTGTGACGGATGGGCCGGTGTAGAGACTCGCGTTTCTGCAGGCACATATGGGCACATTTCGCACCTTTTCACAACTCATGACAATTGGCCTTCAATGCACAACTTGCACCATCAGCTATATTCAACTTCTATCATGTCTCTAGTTGTTTTACACATAACGCGCAGCTTTCCCGCGAAACGCGCCATAGGCGCGCTACTTTCCCACACAACGCGCAGCATTCCCGCGCGCGCTTAGTGCGTTTCTCTCGCACTTGTCGCCCTACTCCGTACGCAACTTCTGCTATGTCTCCAGTCATTGCGCATACAATGCACAGCTCTCCTGCAAAACGCGCCATAGGCGCAACACTTTCTCACGCTTTCGCGTGTCGCGTTCCCGCGCGCGCGCTTAGCGCATTTCTCGCGCTTAAGCGCACTCCATCGCGCATCATCCAGGAGCATCCATCCATCGTCCAACCAGTTCCTAGGTGTCCCTTTTCGTTATCAGACCATATTTAGCCTATCACACTTTGTATTTCGTTATGCACCCTTACTTTACATCACTTTACCTCACTTACATACTTAGAGTGCTCCCTATTCGGCTCCGAGCCCTGGGAGAGCGCTTAGGTAGAACTTACATACTTTCATGTTCGTTTTACACCACAGCTTACTACCACATCTTTCTACCACCATGTACTTGGCAGTTAGTTCCATGCAATGCATGCGTCCATCGTCGTCTTAAGGCCCTAGCATCAGTCTAAAGCTAGTGGCAGTATCAGTATCCATCTATATCCACGCTTTTCACCATATTATCGTCTCTCTACACTTGTGCACTGCTTGCACTACCATTCCAGTTCTCTGCGCATTTTCGCCTTTCGCACTTTCGCCTTCCCCGCGCTTCGCGCATTTTTCGTGTTTCACTTTCCCGCGCGCGCCTTGAGCGCGTTTCTCGCGCTTACATCCCCCTTTTGTCGCCTTTGATCAGGGTTGATCAGCATCATTTCGTGGATCCTTGCTTTCTTTGCTTCCCTTAAGGGTCGAACATATCGCACGGCATATCAAGACCCAACATAGAGAGTGTTTGCTTGTCATCTGACTTGCAGTCACCTTAGTTGTGTTACCCACACCGGGAGTGTTATTATTCCCAATGGAGACGGGTTGGCCCAGGTGGGGAATATGTAAAGTAGATGGGTGGGCCGATGGACATGAATTTTCAATAGACGGATTGGCTGAGGTAGTTGGATGTTATGTAGATGGGTGTACCAAGGTAGATATGTATCAAATAGCTGGGTATATCAAGGGTGCTTGTTATCACATAGACAGGTGGGCCCAGATATATATCATATTAGACGGGTGGGCCGACGAATTAATATTATTTTGTAGATGGGTGGGCCGACGTATTGGTATTATTTTGTAGACAGGTGGGCCGAGGGAGCGGTGAAAGATTTATTATATACGGGTGGGCCAATGGTAGACATATATTGCATAGATGGGTAGGCTGATGTAGGGGTATATAATATAAATGGGTGGGCCCAGGAGAATGATAATTGTAGACATGATGGAGCTCAGCTAGTTGTATATCATCCAAATCAAAGGAGGTAATAATTCAAAGTCATCTAATGATGTAGTATGGCACGGTGTCTTAATAACCGAGGGTCTTATATGAAAACGTGTAAGAATGTAATGACACCACAATTACACTGGATAAGACTTCTTGCCAGTCCTCGATTAACACGGTCTACGACTTTTCTTCTTTTGTGGTAGATAACGTGTGAGTTCTTGGGAGGCTCGCTAAACCAATCAGTCAGATTAACTTAGCCGGAGCTTTATTATCTCTGATTGAAACTATGGGATTGTCTAGGATATACCGTCTAGACACTTGAACTGGTTTCCTGAATATACGATTAACTGTTGAGAAGCTGGTCTCAAATGTGACTACGTTGACCAAAGCTCGTGTTGGTCAATATACAAATACCTGGTGAGAACGCTGGTCTCACAAATAACAACAAATGACAAATAGAAAAACAATGACAAATAACAACAATGACCAAAGCTCGTGTTGGTCAGTATACAAATACCTGGTGAGAACGCTGGTCTCACAAATAACAACGTTGACCAAAGCTCGTGTTGGTCAGTAAACATTACGTGGTGAGAACACTGGTCTCACAAAACTGGGTTTCTATCGTGAGAAACTTACGTAATCTCTGTCATATACCATATATCCGGTTACAGATCCGATGATCTGGATCTCAGATCCGATCCAGATCCGATGAACATATCCGTCGTCCGGTCCACAGATCCGCTTTGATTCTTATTTCATTTCCTGTTCATATAACTCTAACTATCGTTCATCTCCTTTCGGTATTCCTGTACACCGGTATACCGGTTATCCTTTACTTCCGCTTTGCTTACTGATCCGCTACACTTACGAATCCGCTTTTACTTGTACTTCATTCCCGGTTCATGATTCGTGATCCATTCAACTTACCAATACGCTCCACTTAGACTTTGCTTATACTTTCGTACATAGCCTCGCACCTTTGCTTATTGATCATTCCGTTAGCTATCCGTAGTATATAAACCTTTGTATATGCGCTGTAGTAGATCAGTTCGAATATCATCTTAGATTGCACTCATTCCGTCTGGACTCTAAGTCCCTCCGTTATCCGTCCGGACTTGAGTACGCTACTCTTGTCTACTCCGAGACTTAGGATAGATTCCTATAGTCTACATATCCGCCTCTGTCTTCGGACAGTCCTCACCCGTTAGTTTCTAGTCCGGATCCGATCCGGATTGGCCGTTACTCTATATACGCGATACTTTAGCTCTCTGAAATAAGGGGCAAGACTCGGGAAAGGGGCACAGCGCACGAGCTGAGGCCGAAGCCCTTCGGATCCGATACTACTTGAGTACGGTCTTAACAATCTCAAGGGAAACACTTTCCCTGCACTTGTCTGGACAGTTCTTACAAAGGAAATGGGC